TCCAGCAGGAAGTAGTAAGAGAAGCTACGCCCAAATTCCCAAATTATATGTAATTTTACTTTGTTAAGGTTAAAACCTTCTTTTTTGAAAAAAAAAAGGGGGAAGTGCTGTGGGATGTTCTGTATGTCAAATGTGTTGCTGATTAGTCAATAATTAAAACACTGATTGGCCATTGGCTAGGCAGGAAGTGTAGGCGGGACAAGGAGGAGAATAAAACTGGGAAGTGGAAGGCTGAGTCAGAGAGACACTGCCAGCCGCCACGATGACAAACAGCATGTGAAGATGCCGGTAAGCCACAAGCCATGTGGCAAGGTATAGACTTATAGAAATGGATTAATTTAAGCTGTAAGAACAGTTAGCAAGAACCCTGCCACGGCCATACAGTTTGTAACCAATATAAGTCTCTGTGTTTACTTTGTTGAGTTTGAGCGGCTGTGGGACTGGCAGGTGAGAGAGATTTGTCCTGACTGTGGGCCAGGCAGGAAAACTTTAGCTACATACACCTACCTCCCATCGCTCTACACCAAGGCTGACAGACGCCACTCCCTTCGGTCTCCCAAATCCCCATGGCCCACTCGTCCCTCCTCTGGCTGCTCAGATCCCTCTCTCATCACTCCACACCCAGATTACTTGAATGGGCTCCCAACTGCCTTTCCTGTTGCCAGTCTGGGCCCCTCTCCAGTCCACCCTCCACAATGACACAGTGTGATTCCATTACTTCAGGTCACTCCCTGGCTTAAAATCATGGGGCTAGCCCAGGGATATAGTTCACTGGTTAGAGAGCTTGTACTGTGTGCTCTGGGCTCTGGGTTTGATTCCAAGAAGCCCAGGAGGAGCACACACACATGCATGCTTACACACACACACACACACACACACACACACACACACACACACACACATCCTTGGGGTTTCCCATAATTTTGGAGCCAAGTTCACACTCTTTATTTTTTTTTTCCACACTCTTATTTTAACAAGAAAAGCCTCCCAGCCTGATGCTGTCTCACTTCCCAGGTCCCTCATCTACAGCTAGCTCCACTCCAGCCATGCTTCTTGTCTGCCTTTGAATCTACTCCTTTTCTGGCCTGTCATATCCTCTCTCTACTTCTTTCTTTCACTCAGTAAACCCAGTAATCCCTGCCCTGGGGCGTAAATGGCCTAAGGATTGAGCTCAGACTCTAGTGTTTACTGCCTGTATTCAGATATTTGGGGTTTTTTTTGGGTGGGGGGTCCAAGATGGTGTTTCTCTATGTAGCCTTGGCTGTCTTGGAACTCACTTTGTAGACTAGGCTAGCCTGAACTCACAGAGATCCTCCTGCCTCTGCCTTCTGAGTGCTGGGATTAAAGACATCTGCCACCACCGCATGGCCTGTATTCAAATCTTAACTCTTCCGCTCAGGGCACTCAGTTTCAACCCTCATAAGACAATCCACATTACAAAATAACATCTCCATTATTGGGATGTTATAGGAGTTAAAACCCCCAAGATAGGCTGGCACTAAGTAGATATACTATGTCTGTAGATACTATTTCTCCATTATTCTTCAAAATTAGTCTCTTCAGGAAGGAAGTCTTCCTGATGGCTATCATCTCCACTCTAGCATGCATCAGCCTGAAATGACCTTTTCCGTATTTGTCGTACTTGGATGGATTCTAATGAGTAATTTGCTTCGCAGCCCGCATGGTGTCACACGTAGATAATTCCAGCACGTGGGAGGCCGAGGTAGGAAGAGATCGAGTTTGAGGATAGCCAGGGCTACACAGCAAGACCCTGTCTCAAAACTATATGACAATAACTTCACTTCACTAGATCTTCTACCTGTAACTAGAAATTATTTGAAATTAAAGGTCCCATTTTAATTGTAATTTCTTTCCTTTCCAAGTGCCTAGCACATAGTAGGTATACAACTATGTCAAAGATGTGAATGAGTGACTTTTCTCTCTTGCACTTATAAAGGTCTCTTATCCCACTAGCCAGTCCAAAAAAAGACTCCTTTTTGAGAGCTCTCAAATCAGCAGATTGTGTACTTTCCTTCTTGTTCCTCAATATTTTCCAAATGCCAGTGTTGAAAGGACCCCAGTCAACATTCCAGGACATGGAAGGGGTCATCCATGACCTTTGCTTCAAGAATGGAAGCCCTGATTCTGAGATCTGAAGATGCCAACTAGAATGAGACAGACATATGTGCCCCCACCACACCCCCCAAATTAAAAGGGCATCACAACAAAACCACCAGCTACCTCCTAATGCCAACCCTCTTCTGTCCTACCCGCACCCCAGAGACATGATTTCTCTCTCAGTCGTTAAAGGTGAGGAGTTGTATCTCAGGCTTAAGACAGCTTTCATCACAAGATGGGCAAGAAAGACTGAGGTTCTTCAAGTACCCACTGTGAGCAAAAGTTGGCAGTGGGCTGAGACTCCTCTGTTAGCTTCTCTTACAGAATTATGAGTTTCAAATCTCCATGCCAGTCTTAGGTTGTCACAAAAACAGGTAATTACACTATGGCCGTGGAAACAATAACTATTCTATCCAATGCCTTGTTCTATGTTATTTTTTAATGAAGAGTAAAGAACTCTTCAGCCACAATAAAATTCTAGAGCTCTGGCACCACACAATTAAAAGAATTATACTTACCCCATTACATTCCTGGAATGGGTTCTGAGAACCGGGCAAGTGAGTTAGTCTCAGCTCCGACTCCCTCCAGCTGCTCTTAGATGAAGCAGCACATGGCTTCCCCCCTTGTTTCCAACATCCTTGTTGCCACTTTGGCCTCAGTCACTACTTAGCTGAATCTTAGGTACTCTCTCGAAAGAGTGAATGCAAATGAACCAGGTCACTCAGAGGTAAATCTTTCACTCAGGAAGTAATGCGGTCAACCAAGTCCTTTCTCAGAACTTGAAGTCTGTGAGGATTGGTCAAGTCTCTGGACAGCGGGCCTCATAAACCTTTTTGCCCCCACAGTTGTCTCTCCTTCCTGCTCTTAACATCCTGTGCCCCCTCCCAGGCTGCAGAAAAGCCCTTTCTTCCCTAAGCCCAGACAAGTCCTGTCATGGGAGGAAGACACTGCAGAAACGCTGCAGGAACAGCTCAAAACCGAAGCAAGCAGGAGCCACGGTGGGCACAGACCCCTCACAACCTTCCTCTGAGACTCTGATTTCCTCGGCTCCCTAACGTAAAAAAGGAGTTCAAGCTGCTTTTCCATTCAGTTCCTGTTACGGGAGTACGACACAACACTCAAGCGCTGCGTGACTGTTACCTACAACAAACACCCTAGCTTCTCCACATCAAAAATCCTTAGACTGGCCGGGCGGTGGTGGCACACGCCTTTAATCTTAGCACTCGGGAGGCAAAGCCAGGCGGATCTCTGTGAGTTCGAGGCCAGCCTGAGCTACCAAGTGAGTTCCAGGAAAGGCGCAAAGCTACACAGAGAAACCCTGTCTCGAAAAACCAAAAATAAAAAAGTCCTTAGACTGTATCCCCAGCTGCCATGTTCTGGAAGATACGCCTAACTGTTATTTGGTTCTAATTAATTTGCATACATGTTGTGTTTCTAGTCAAGGATACCTAACTACCATCTAGAAACTCAAGGGCAGCATCAAAGAGCATGCCTTTGCACAATAGGTTGAGAAAATGCAAAGAAATCTAACCTGGATTGTTGTGTGTTGTGGTTAACATATGAGATGTTCCTCATGTTTTGAACACTAAGTTAGCAGTCATTAGCACTATTTGGGGAGGTTGTGGGTACTTTAGGGCAAGAGGCTTAGAGAGAGGAAGCAGGTAGAGGCAGGTACCCAGAGGCTGTTCCTGATCACTTCCTGTTGTCTTCTCGGCTGCAGGTCTACTGTAATGTGGACAGTGTCTGCCACACGCTCCTGCTGCCAAGGTGTTCAGCCTCACTCTGGGTCAGAAATACAGAGTCCATTTACCATACACTGAATCCTCTGGAACCATGAATTTAAACAAATCTTTCATTTGTTAAGCTTTTTTTAATTGTTATTATTGTATGTGTTTGGCATGTCTATGAGCTACGTGGCAGCGTGCATGCCATGGGGTGTGTATGACATATGTGAGGTCATGCGTGTGTGACATGCACGTGCAGATCAAAAGACAACTGTGTGAAGTTGACTCTCTCCTTCCGTCTTTACATGGGTCCCAACAATCAAATTCAAATCTCCAGGCTTGTGTGGCAAGCACCTTTGCCCACTGAACCACCCCACGGTGGTCTCTTGAGTTTTGACAGATGTTTCTCTGCTATGACACCCAAAGTAACAAATACCTCTTGTTGTACAAGAACATTTGTGTGGTTGCAGTCGGGCTCTGGAAATATAAACGACTGGAAAGCCCTCCTTCCTCCCTCCAGAAACCAACTTCGTAAACAATATATGATTTGCTATTGGCTTGATCTCCCCATGGCTTCTCATCTTCTACCTGCTTCTGAAGAACTGAGCTCTTCCCAGTCTCTTCCTCCTCCCACATCACGCATCCAGTCTATCTGTCACACCCAAACATACAACTGCTCACTCCCTAACCTGTATCCCCAGCTCTGGTTCCCTGTAGCTGGCTGTTCTGTCACCAAAACCTGCCTTCCCTGGCTCCTCCAGCAACATGTACAAAACAATGCCCTTCACCATCACTTCTCCGAAGCAGCTCATAGCAGCCTGCGTAAGGCCAGTTACCTTCATCCTCTTCCATCAACTCAGTGGTCCAAACGAGGAAACTCAGAAACACTGCCACCTCCAATCTGTCGCTGTTAAGATCCTCCTGCCTCTGATCTGCCTTTGCAACCATCATCTCTTCCCTGTCTCTAACACTCCAACCCAAGGACCAGCCACACTGGCTGCATCACTTCAAGACTGTTTCATAAGAGGTTCCTATCTCCTGGCTCATCCTGGATTCTGACCCAAGGGGTCCCAAGTACGGCCTGAATGGGGTGTTTTATTGCTGTTTTGGTTTTGGTTTTGGTAATTTGGTTTTGATTTTTTTTTTTCTTTTTTGCAGGGAAGGGTTTTGAAGAGGCAAATCTCGGGTCTGCACATGACTGATTCTCACTCTATTGGGAGGGACCTTTCACTTCCCTAACGACTGATAAATGTTTGCAAACCAGACTGGATCCACTGATTTGAATCATCTGCTAATTTCTGTGGTGTAAACACTTCCACCATGCTTGGTTTCTCATGTCACTGAAATCAGTATTGGGAAATGAAAGGCACAATCAACTTTTGATAGCTGACATTAGCCCACCACAAAACATGAATATGCCCAGACTATTTCCTATAACCTTCTAAAGCAGCTTTTAAAAACAAACAAATAAGCCAGATGTAGTGATGCATGCCTACAATCTCAGCACTCGGAGGGGATCTTGACTCTGACTTCAAGGCCAGCCTGGTCTGCATAGTGAGCTCCAGGACAGCCAGAGCTACATAGAGAGACCCTGTCTTGATAAACAAACAAACAAACAAACAACAAGGAAACTTAAGACATTCCTCTTTCCAGGTTTATTTCATCTTTTAAATTATATTTTTTATTGACTTTGTATATGTCATAAAACACTTTTGTGTAGCAGACAAGTGGAGGTCAGAAGACTTGCAGACTTGCGGGAGTGAGTCCCAGGGATGGCAGCAAGGGTCTGAGCCATCTCAGCAGCCCAAGGGAGGCTGTCTGTGATTAACACACACTATTTGCATGGATGGAAATATTAATATGCATAAAGATATTATAGGTTGTATTTTAAAACACTATAGAGTGTCTTGGTTTGTTTTTCCTTTTCTGTTTTTCTTTCTTTGGGGAGGGTAGGTTTATTTTATTTTTAATTACATACATGTTGAGGGGAGCTGTTTATGTGAGTTCAGAGGCATTGGATTCCCCTGGAGCTGGAGTTATAGGCAGTTTGGAGTCACCTAATGAAAGTGCTGGGAACCGAACTCAGGTCCACTAAGCACTAAGCAATCTCTCCAGCCCCCCTCCCCACCTTGTTTTTTGAGACACAATACCTTAAAGGTTCTATCTAGGTAGCCAAGGATATCCGTAGACTTTAGATCCCACTACCTCTGCCTCCCAAGTGTCGGGGTTTCAAGTATGTGCTCTCATGCTTGACCCAACATTAATTTTTAAAAAGTGAAAAAAATATATATGCTGATCTACATTTTAAGAAAAGAAAAGACTTTAGGGAGATGCAGAACATGTCTAAGATTAAACTATGCATGAGCTAGAAAGTAAGGGTTTCGATGCAAGGCTTCTGCCCCTGAATTTTCTGTCCTTTTGCCTTGAGCTAACTACGATATTGAACCCCAGTGTCCACATGGAACCTCAAGAAGTGGGCCTCAGAAATGATTAAACTGAGGACAGATCTGATCTCTGGTGGGACTCCAAAGGGCTTGGACATTCATTTTGCTGTGTTGATCAAGACAGAAGACGCAAGATCATCTCGGAGTCCAAAACAGCAGAGGCCTTGACACAGAAGTGACAAGAACCTTCAGTGACCACTGCAAGACAGTTTGCTAGGTGACATCACCACGGAGGCCACTAGATCACAGGTGAAGAAGATCTCTTCCTTAAGAGCAGATGTAGCTCATCAACCAGCTGGGATGGGGGGAGGGGATGGGACACAGCCTACAGGCAAGCCAAATAAGGAAGAATAACGAGACAGAGGCCAGAGCAGGAGATTCAGGGCTCCAGTGACTTCTAGGAGGCCAATGAAGGTTTGGCCTACAGCCCCAAAAGAAGTCTGGAGACCACAGAGGCCAGTATCATTCCAGTGAGGCATGAGGGCAGGACTCACAGGAGCCAGGACAGCTGCAGAATTCTCGTGCCCTGCTGGCTGACCTCTTCACAAAAACAAACCCAGGGAACTGTCCCAGCCCAGTGCCAACTTCATTCCTCTGTCAGCAACACTCAGGAGCTTGACTCGGGAGTAGATGGGCAGCTGATTGCCCCAGAACAACACTGAACTACCACAGGAGCATTTTAGCAGACGCCTGAGCCCCCAGAGCACTCTCAATAGACCAAACTCTATTAACAATACATGTTTTCGCCTTTGTTGCTACGACTTCTCAGCATTAACCTTGTTACCCACTGCAGGTGCCTCTCTGGTAACTTCGGAAAAGGCTTAAAATATGGGGCTGGGGAGGTGATTTAGTCAACCAAGTGCTTTTGAGGTGAGCATGAGAAGCTGAGTTAAGCTCTCCAGCACCCACATAAAAGCCAGGGAATCCCGGCACTAAGGAGGCAGAGACATGAGGATCCCGAGGGCTTGGCAGTCTAGTCTGATCAGTGAGTGTCAGGTTCAGTGACAGACTCTCTCTGAAGGGGAACAAAAGGGTGAAGTATCATCGAGGAAGATTTATGACGTTAATCTGTGGCCTCTACATGCACCCACACGTGGACCAGCACACAGGAACACATATATTGCACATGCAATACACACATGCCAAGCCTGAATATATGTGAATCATGAAAGGTCACAAGGTTGTAAAGCTTTGAGCCCTGCCACAGAAAGCCAAGGACAGAGGAACCCAAAAGAGGCCGCTGAAGCATCTATAAAGAAGGACCAGTTCTTGGGACCTAGAGGACAAGAAAGTAGGAGGGTGACATGTCACAGACTAATTGTTCTAGGGACTACCGGCCTCGGGGACAAACAGCCTGCAAGCTTTTCTACATTCCAGAAAGAAACCCCTCAGTTCCCTGCTTCCCCTTTCTGACCCACTCTTTCCGACTCAGTCCAACTTCATTTGCCCTTAGCACCAGGAAAAAAACAAAAACAAAAAACAAACAAACAAATAAAAAAACTGGCTTATAGGAAAATTGTTACCTTGTTTTTCAATTGGAAGAAATAAAAATGGTCCTAACCACAAACTCTGATCATGTTCTAACTGACATGGGGCCCTCAGGGCCAGGAAAGAAAGAGCACTATGGAATGAACCTGCAGGCAGGAGGAAGAGAGTCATGGCTGACCTGTCCTCTCTGCCACTTTCCACACAATACTGGATAGCATAGATACCCTGTGAAGCATTTGGGAGTTTGGTGGTGGTAGCAACTGTGGTAGTTTATTCCAGACCCTGGCTGGTCTAGAACTCATGAGCCGCATACCTCAGACTCTCAGTGTGGGGTTACAGTCTTGCCTCGCCATATCCTGCTCCAGTCAAGCATTCTGACAACTTTTGTTTTCTTGTGCTTTTGTTTTTTATTTTTTGGTTTGTTTTGTCTTGAAAAAGGGTCTCCGTATGTACCACAAGCTGGAACTGAACTCACTATGTACATCATACTGTCTCTGAATTCCTGATTCTCCTGCCTCCACCTTCCAAAGACTGGGATTATAGGTGTGTATCACCATGCTTGGATCACTTTGAAAACTCTCTCTCTCTCTCTCTCTCAATCAATCAATAAATAAACAAACTTATTACATTTTAAGTGCATGTGCCTGTGGAGGGGGGGGGCATGGCGAGGTATGCGTTCAGGCTACATCCATCTTAATGGCCCCACCGTGACAACTTTCTAATAAGCCATTTATATCATGCATGTTACTAACACAGAGGTGGCAGGTATTGAAAAACTTGGAAGACTGAACAAAGCAAAGACAAGTTGAATCACCCACAAATCTTTTATTTAGGGTTTGAATAATTTAGTGAAACACACACATATACAATATCACACTCCTACCACACATCCAACAACCCTTTCTCCTCCTTTGCATTTTTAAGACTGGCTTCACTGTAGCTCAGGCTACCCTGGGACCCACTTTGCAAACTAAATTTCAAATCCCTCCAATCCTGCCTCCGCCCCTAATTTTGGTGATTGTGGCTCTTTCCCTGCCCCCTCCACACACACAAAAAAAGGCACAGTTTTTGCATGATGGCCTGTACTCAGAGGAAAGATGAGAGGCAAGCATGGGATGGGCCAGAGGTTGGGCAAAAGTCAAAGACACAGTCCAAAGAGGCTGCCCTCCAGGGTCTAAACCTGAACACACGACGCTGGCTCTGGTGGCTCAGACTTGAAGTCTCAGCCCAGAAAGAGGAGGCAGAAAGACCGCTGTGAAATTAGGCCAGCCCAGGCTACAAAGTGAGACTCTGTCTCAAAAACAACCATAATTTTTTAGAAAGGAATTCAAATCTAGAAGATAACTATGAAAAAAAAAAACCTAAAAGTTCATGTCCCGCAGGAAGGAGAAAGTAACATAGACTGAGTGCCTACCATAATAATTTTTCACACAGAATTTCATTGAAAAGTCACGGGTTAGGAGGGTAGGTTGGTTTTGTTGCTGTTTTGGCTTTTGAGATGGAATTTCATGTTGTCTAGGCTAGCCTGAAATCTACTAGCCTTGAACTCCTGGTTCTCCAGCCTACACCGCTCAAATGTTGAAATTCCAGACTTGTGCCACCACACCAGGCTCAAAGTCATTCCTTGAGGAAAATTATTCTCTTATTCAGATTCAATTTCTATTTATTTTCCGTGATTTCTTTGAACTAAGAATCCTATAGCCAAATACTCCAGTCTTTCTTAATGCAAATGGTCTTCGATGAATGTAACTTCCCCATCTTCCTCATCCAGCATCTCCTGCTCAGGTCTTTCCACATGCAAGGTAGACAATTGCATGGTGGTACTCAAGCCAAACCCATCACGCAGTGTTACCAAAACACTCCGTGTTAAGCCTGCCATGCTGAGAATGTTGAGGTTCCTTCCCACACTCACTGACTGAGGAGATCTGACTCATGGATAAAGGAAAGTTCAAAGAGCATACAGGTCAAGTGTCAGAAGAATATCCTCCCCAGACACCATTTCCCAACCGGAAGTACCTATGTGCGGCTTAGACTACTCCGCCTCTACAGACATGTCCACAGCTGAAAGTGGAGCACATCCCTATCATAAGCAATGAGAAATTTCCTGATATTTTTAACACTTCCCAGGCTGAGTGGCCAGCAGAAGAAAGGGAACATCTTGACCCTTTGAATGACAGGGATATGTTCCACTTTTAGCTGTGGACATGTCTGCATAGGCGGGGTAGTCTAAGCCGCACATAGGTACTTCTGGTTGGGAAATGGTGTCTGGGGAGGATACTCTTCTGACACTTGACCCATATGCTCTTGGATCTTTCCTTTATCCATGAGTCAGATCTCCTGAAGATTAAAAAAAAAAAAAAAAAGGTGATCTGCTTCCAACTCATTCTTCTTTAAGATAGAATCTTGCTATGTAGCCCTTGGCTGGCTTTGAACTCTCTGTTCTGTTGCCTCAGACATGCACACCACATCCTCCTCCAAATCCTCAAGTCTTCTTTCATCCTTTTTCTTTTTTTCTTTTTTTTTGGGGGGGGGTTCCGTCCATTTATTAATCCAAATAAAACTCCCGTCTCTTAATGACACATGCTAGGCATACAGTAAGTATTCATCAACTGAATGACTGTGGCTAATGAAACTGTGACATCATGATACACATGTTTTATAAAATTCAGTGTAATTGACAAAGGGAATGCAGAATGTATACTTGACTGGGCAATCAAGGTAAAAATCTTTTTCTATTTATTATTTCATCCTTTTTCAAAGTATTTATTATCTACCTTGGCAGTGCCAGGACCTGAAGTCAAGGCCTTGCAATCTAGGGAAGTGCTCTCCACCAGCAATAAATGTCCTCAGCCCTGTCTGTGTAGTTTCTTCTCATGGTGGCCGTAGTTGGAAGGTCATGAACAGCAACGCAATAGGCCCTGTCTGTTTCTGCCTGGCTGAAGGAGAATCTTACTTGGAATGGACCA